TTAGTATTGTATAATATTTTCTGGTATCGGAGATATAATCTTCCAGAGGGCATGAGAGTTCGTAAACAACATTGTTTTTACATAAGGCTGATTTTTGAAGTAATACGCTTTTGGTAATCATCAGATTTTTTTTTTTTTTTTTAAATAACTGTTAAACCGTCTGTGTTTATGATAATCATTTTTTGTACCCACAAATTATGTTTTTAATCGCTTTTTCATATTCTTTATACTTATCTATACCTAGGTCCGATCATACAATAAATTAATTATGTTTGTATTTTTGTTTATATCAAAATACTTTTTTATTAACTTCTTTTAAAGCTAATTCGATTTCCTCATTAACGACATGGCGTGTGTTTGTTCTCTGTTATCCGGTTCATCCCACTGTTGATTAAATAAAATCCCCTGAATGTTACCCAGTCAACAATCACCTGATGAAGGGTCGAAACGTTTTGATAACAACAACAAAGATGAGGACAATCGTCAATGTAAATAATGCAAGTAACTCATCTTCAAAATCCAGACAGATATTATTCAGTTCTTGATGAAATAATGTGTACTTTGTTAGCCTACTAATAACAATATTACCAACTATAAAGACATATCAAATATATTGCTTATCTTTATTCGGTATCTAGCCCCTACCCCCAACGAGGGTTGCATGTGGCACAAGGCCGAGTTTAACGTGGGTTTCCCGAGCCCGTAGGCTCGACCAAAAAATGCCCGTAGAACCCGTATAAACGGGATCGGGTTGGTCAACCTCCCCGAACAAGACTCTGCCCTTCGGCGGAGCCTCGTCCGGGTTCCTCTCTGCTCAGAGACAGTTCGACCGTCAAGCCGAGAAGCTCGACTCGATTCGTCGCTTTCTCTTGAGAGGCGTAGTGTTAGGAAGAGTTCATTCTGTAGTTATAGGTAAGGAGCCATGACATATATATAGAAAGAGAGAGAGAGATATGAAAAGACATTGATAGATCAATAGATAAACAAATTGATATGAGGAGACATAGATAGATCGATATATAGCTAGCTAGATAAATATATTGACATAGATAGATAGATAGATAGATAGATAGATAGATAGATATGAAGAGACATCGATAGATCGATAAATAGATAAACAGATTTATATGAGGGGACATCGATAGATCGATAGATAGCTAGATAGATAAATATATTGACACAGATAGCTAGCTAGCTAGCTAGCTAGCTAGATAGATAGATAGATAGATAGATAGATAGATAGATCAATCGAATGACTTACTGAGTTATATGATGAGTCATATATATATATATATATATATATATATATATTGTTATGGTCCAAAGTTAGGACCAAGGAAGAACACGAACACAAGAGTAGAAATAACGAAGGTATATTACACGAAATAATAATACAAGATGTGGAAGGTGTTAGTATGACTGTCAGTCTGGTTTGGAGTAAACTACTATCGGCTCGACTCGATTCGTCCCTCTCTCTTGAGAGGCGTAGTATACATAGTGTTAGGAAGAGTTCATTCTGTAGTTATAGGTACGGATCCATGACAGACTCTATCGGGAGTGGAAAGGGAAGACTGGGTAACTCTTGCACGTATATTGCAGTAATACTCTAATTTTGGCCTGATCTGGCTCTTATAAATATAGAGAATAGATCGAGAAGTGAAGTACTTCCTGAGGGGGGACGAGTACCACTTGAAGTTCTGGACAGAGTTTAAGGCCCAAGAGGCGCCCAAGAGGCGCCCAAGGCACGAGTTCTCGTTAGGGGAACATCCGTTTATCGCAATTACCGGGTGTAAGAACAAAATTGAATAAATCGTGTAACAGCAAAATTGTCCAATTGTTAGATTAAGCTTTGAACCGTTGTATCTTAGAAATGATTAAAGATATCTTACTGGAATTCTCTGGTGTTTTTTTTTATAACACTACTTTGAACAATAAGAATGTATTTAGCTCTAAGTTGAAATGATGATCCCTCTTGCTGTTGTGACCTCCTGATCTAGTTTTCCTCTCTACTCTTCTCTCTTTTTTAAACTTATTCACTGTTCTCTTGATGGCTCTTCAATGGAGTTTGAAGATGGGAGCCAGAGTATGAATGTTGGTACTATGACTGAAGGTCTGAATGATCTTTTTCCTCTCACCATTGCTCAGTTGGGAAGACATAGTGGGGCTGACACAAAACGATTTTAACCTGTTCTCATTCTAGCTGATACAAGACAAGATACAAGGGGTTACTGAGGGCGAGTGAATGAGAAAAAAGGAAACTATTATTAAGGAGTTAAGACAATAAAAGAACGGAATTTAAGGAGACAAAAGATAAGGTTTCACATTACATTTACATTTTTGAAGATCAAAGTTGACTGAGAAGGAAGAAGCCGAAAGACAATTCCACAAGCGAGAAGTACGAGAGAAGAAACTGTTAGCATAGAACTTACGGTTCCGTCTAAGCAATTCAACTGTAAAATAATTGGCCGCTAATCTTCCACTATCTAGAAAGAACGTTTGA